GGATGAAAATATGTCAAATTTCCTAGGCCGGACATCACTTTTGGCCACTACTACACTCTAAAAAATGCTGGGTTGTTTCAACCCAACCTTGGGTCAAAAATGGACTAACCCAACTTTTGGGTTAAAAATGTAATTAAAAAATTTAACCCAACGGTTGGGTTAGTCCATATTTGACCCAAGGTTGGGTTGAAACAACCCAGCATTTTTTAGAGTGTACAATGAAAGATAATTGAGCCCAAAATAACACTAGTCCCCAATGACTTTCATTGCATTGACATTTTTCACAATATTTGGTTTTGTGTTCCAAAGAAGAAGAAAATCATATTTATATGATAGGGTGGGTAAATGATAACACCAAATTTTCATATCTGGGTGACCATTACCTTGAGTTAGGAGAAAGTATTTTTTCCTTAAAAAATTACACATTTTGAAACTAGTGAAAAAGGACAACAATCAAAACTATTATGCATGAGATTTAAAGGGGTCATATGATGTTGCTAAAAAGAACATTATTTTGTGTATTTGGTGTAATGAAATGTGTTTATGCGGTTTAAGGTTAAAAAAACACATTACTTAATTACGGATACTAATGACTTATACTGTCTTTTTACGCGTTGCGTTGCATCGCGCCACGTAAACATAAAACCATGTCTGCATTTGTGATCGGAGAAATGACAAACAACAAGCGCTACTCTACACTGCTCAAAACTCGCGTTTGAATCATCAGTGGCAAATCCTTTAAATATAAAAAACGTACTTACAGTCTTTGAGTCAGAACAGCCGGAATTGTAGACTACTCTCCCAGGATCAGGAAATGGTCCTCCATAAAATGTGCTGCACACAAATGAATATTTGGGTTGAACTGTTCTGGAACAGTGTTGAAAATACAACTTAACCACTGATTTCTAGTCGTGTCCTCTTTTGGAAGACCAAACAAAGTAGTTTCGCTTTCACAACGAAGCACACAGTGTTTCCACGACATGGCGGCAGCGGCAACAATACTACAGTGAGAATAAAAGTTACGCCTTCTTTCTTTGCGTGAACATTTGGGCAGCGTTATGCAAATAGTGACTTCCCACATAGTGACGTAGATATGTGGGGGCGTGTTAGAACAAGGCGTTTTAGGTAGGCGTGGTTAACTCTTAACTTTTATAAAGAATATCTCTTTGGATTTGAGACTTTAGTCTTTGCAATGTTACAGATCTTCTTTATGCACCAACAGCTTGTAACACTCCAAAGAGAAAGGAAAAATTTTAATCGCATCATATGACCCTTTTAAAAAGTGAGATATTCTATTCAAACCTTTAGTTAAACACAAAGGGATTTCACAATTGTCATCGTATTTAACCTAAAAGGTCATTTTACTCTCTGATACCGTGATGTAATTTTAGTGGTTTCCCTAGAATTGTAATTTGAGCTGGTTTGTATGACACTTTTGGGAAAGTAATAGTATATTTAACAGTATTGTATACAGCGAACATCACAGCATAACTGAAAAGCTGCTGATCGGGGAGGCATGTGTGGGGATGAGGATGGGGGGTTGGAATTTGCAGACCATGTGGAGACACAAGGCAGTAAATAAAGTGAAACCTCATGGTTGCTTTACTTTATGGTGTTTTTCCAGCATGTCACGTTCCACATACTGTTTATGAGATGTGTGTGTGTGTGTGTTTATTGCGCAGGGGGAGGACGGAAGCTTCACATGACTATAAAAACCGTACGGACAGGAGAGCTGACCAGGTGTGAGGGTTACCACGACAACTACAAAGAGAGAGAGAGCTCTCCAGTGTTTACAGGCTGTTTGACGTCAGAGAGAGTCTTAATCTGTGGAAATAAGGAGGGATGCAATTTAGCTCAAAATATCACTGCTTCACCTGCATCACATGCACATTTTAGAGGACTACCCCATTTCCACAGTGTGGTAGGATATTGGTCAGTGATCACATACTATGGGACAGTATTGTTGTGTGTTTGGTATCCGTCAGGATGTTAGTCACACATAGACCAAGATTCTGACTGATCATCAGCATCAGTAACATTAATGTCTGTTGGTCTCATCACATTGTTTGATGACTCTTGTGTTTATATTATTACTTTCTAAATTAAATGACCTTTTAATAGATTTATTAATTAGCTGATTTCTAACGTATTAATATATGCATTTTGATAATACAACCCAGGGGCGTCGGTAGTGGGGGGAAAAGGGAGACAGAGTGCATAGGGCCCAGAGGTTGACAGGGGCCCATAACGATGTCCCCCCCAACCCCAAAAATCAGTGCAGTGGGCCCAGAATTCCTAGCGACGCCACTGCTACAACCCCTAATATTATGGTTGGACTGACACTGGTACAATCCCAGGTAAGGGAAACCTGTAAACTAGAGACTTGCTGAGAGAATCCTATCATAGGTATAGATATGTCCACATTCACTTGTCTGAAAAACAACTGGACTCTGCTTGGAATTACATAACACAAAATCACTTTGTAATCATATGTAATGTGTAGAAGGTAGGATGTGAATTGAAAAATGACACCTTTCACTGCAAATAGAAATCCCATTATTAAAGAGCAGGTTTCTATACAACTAGGGCACCTTGAATGAAAGAGAAACACAGAGAAAAAGCAGGAAAGAGAGCTGTAACAGTACCTGAGGTAAAGTTACTGGTGAGAAAACTGCCAATGAGGAAAGAATTTCTGAGTATTAGGTTTCATCCATAAAAACTCTTGTGAACCCAGCACACTTGATCTGAAATGATTTCTCATCACTTGAACAGACTCTTAGCACTCCATAGACAAGAGCAAATAATCTGAAAGAGGAGAGCAAGGAGCCAAATTAGTGAAATGATCCAGTGGAATCAATCTATGTAATCAGACACTGAATCATCTTCATCATCTTCCACTCATGTGTGTGTCTTATCCCCCTATAGTGAATTGATTTATTGCAATTACATAACCGGACAGTTATCCAGTCAGACAGAGATAATTTGTCATTCAAAATGTTGAAAAATAGGTAGTGTGAAGAATGCATGCTTTAAAGGTTAAATCGATGTCTGGTCCACTGCCTTTAATGGTTCAAAATTCACAAACAACCCCTCTGTACTTTATAATCCAGAAGACAATAGAAGACATCACACTCTCTATGTGGGGTCTTATAGCACTCCTCCAACATCATTATCACATATTTATTTATACCTATTTATCTGTTATTATAAGATTTGGTTTTACTGTCAGCACCTAAATGTCATCTTTAGTTGTGTATGACATAAAGATGAGATCATTAAGGCCAGTTCACATTTGTTATTGTCAGTGCAAATTTATTTTTACTGTGGAGTAAAGAATTTAACAAATACATCAAAACCTATGACGTTATTAGATCTATTTACATGTGTCCCCTTGCATTGTAAATTCAAATTCACATTTTTGCCCTTTGTAATCAACTTGGGAGCATATTTGAGATCCATTTTGATCTCCTCCATTTAAAGGGTCTTGCATGAATTCAACATGACTAAATGGGTCTCTGTTTCATCAGTAAGGATTTTTAGGTGTTTTGTGATCGTGAAAACATTGTACTATTAGTTTTAAAAGTGGAATTTAGATTTGCGTAATAGACAGCCAAGGCTGTATACTGTAATGAATTCAGTCTTTCAGTGCGTCAATGGCTGCCGCTGAAGTGTTCAGCAATCAATGCGCTGTCGCTTTAAATGAAGTGAAAGGTGGGTGTTACCATTGGGCGCAAAGAGCGAGAGTAGGGCGGGGACAATATTAAATATGTATCAGTCTAGTTACCCCTTAGAGACTCAACGCAGATGAATGATACAGATTTGGAAGAAACACGCATGGCCACTCCGGTTTAATCACGTCCAATTTATCCGACACTTCCAGAGAAGTGTAAATGGGCAGACTATAGACGCTCAGTGGATGAAGGCGACTTGACAGTGCAGACGAGCGCACGTCGCTTAAGCCACACATATTGCTGGTTGCGATTTTTGAATTGAATTTCAACAATTTTGCAACCTATCTCACCTTTGAGATATTGTTATTGCTTTCCAAGCCTTTTTTTTTTTTTAACTCACAGCCGATATGGACACCATATTGGACAACTTCGCTTCGGACAAACTTTTTCCCAATTCCAACCTGTTGGACCTAGAGGATCTGAATGAGAGCGATTTCTTATCCAATGTGGTACGTCAAACCTCCGCATCTTCCATCATTATGAACAGTAGCAGAGAGGGAAAATATGCAGAATCTGTCTTAAGTTATGAATGTCTTAATAATTTTATAATAATTTTTTCCTGTACTCATATTTTGACATTTAGCCTATATCATATTTTCTTATAAAGTTAGAGATCGTTTTGTTATGGGGGGGGGGTCTTCGTTAATATGTTATTTATTCAAACCATGCCCACACGCCGTATCATCCTGTTTAACCAAATCATGCCCATACAACAATTCCAAACCACGCCCACTGATCGCTTCATCCTGTTTCTCGTGTCCGGCCACAACCGGTGAAGTAAGATGCTCAGGTTATTGGACTTTGCAGTATGTTTGCTTTCTCTTTGGAGGCCAGATACACAATTGATGAGTTTACCTGGCACAGAAATTAGGAGAGCAAGAAAACTAATTTAGTGGAGAACCAATTCACGTTGTGTTTGTTGTTGATTCAGAAATTATGATCAAACCATGCCAACGAAAAACAAAAAACGACCTCATCTTAGATGATATTTGCAGTTAAGTCAATGCTATATTACTGTGAGATAAAAGGTGTATATGAGTTAACTTGGGGCAAACAAACTGCACAACAAATCTGTGACATCCAGTATGTGAAGACATCAGAAAGAATAGTTAATCCAAAAAATTTTACTCCATCATGACGTTCCAAACCAGACTTTTATTTTACATGTAAATCTAAAAGTGAATTGTTTTGAAAATATTTAATATATTGAAAGTGAATGATGACTGGAGCGGTCAAGCTCCAAAGTCAAAATGTGTGGGGGAAAAAAGTATTATAAAAGTGGTCTCAAAGACTAATCTGATCTCCATTCAGTTCATGAAAAAGAGTGACCAGTGCATTATTCCTAAAGTGTTCCACGGAAGAAAGAAAGTCATACTGGTTTGGAGCGATGAGAGTGGGTAAATGAAGACTTTATTTTCATTTTTGAATAATTAGGTCAGTAGGAAATTAATGTTTTGGTAGTTAATGCATTTCACTTGCATATGATCCATTTGAAGCCCAGGACACTTTTGATGTTTCCGCAGTGATTCAGACACTCCTATATGGCTAATGCTTCTGACTGACACACATTCATGCTGAGGTTCTTTTAATCCTTTCCCAGAGAGACAGAAAGAGACAGAAAGAGTCATCACAAATGTCAATATTATGAGGCTCAGATGAGATGGAACAGTTTTGACCTTTATTTTAACAGGGAAGCTGCAGCATCATCTTGACTGTGTGGGTGGACAGACAGGAGATGTATTCTGTAGCCTCTTATGAGCTACCTGAGCCTAAATGCTGTTTTCTACAATACAAAGTCGGTTGATAAACTATAAATGATAAACTATATAATATATCATACCTCCTTAATGTAGATGCAGTGGTCAGATAGATAAACAGAGGTACTGTATGTCCTGTGATTTGACATTATATAATTCATCTAAAAGTATTTTTAAGGGAAATTCTCTCATAATTTACTCACCTTCATGTCATTCCAATCCTGTATGACTGATATTCTTCTGCAGAACACAAAAGAGGATATTTTGAAGAATGTTTGTAATTAAACAATTTTGGTGACACTTGACTTCCATTGTATGGACAAAAAAAAAGGTTTTTGATTATTGTTTTTTTTTGTGTGTGAACTATCCATTTAAATATTATTTTCACATTCTTATTTGATTATATATTTATGATTATATATGCATTTTGAGTCCTCATATTAATTGAGAGACTAAAATTTTTGAGACGTGTAAAAATACATTGAGCACACTGGAAGACCTTATAAAATTAACTTGTGTAATTAATTAAAGTTGGTGAAAAACTTTTAAGGAATGGTGGCTTTTTACAGTACCCAAAATATACACTTTCCCTTATACATATATATAAATTGAACTTACAACCTTGATGATGAAGTAAAAAAAACTTCATCAACTAGATAGACATATAATTTTAGTCACTGTCTGGCTGTGGATCTCTAATGAAAACCTGTCTTGTCATATAAGGCTTAGAGTGTTAGTGTTTCTTATGAAGATTTTGCTTTAGCGCCTGTCTGTTTTTTTTTTTCCCCCTGCTGGTCTGTTGGTTGTTGAGGGCATTTAACGGGTAGTATTCAATCCAGATGTCCCTCATTGAGTAACAGCTGTGCTCCAGTTTGCTCTGTAAGGACCTGACTAAGGGGAGAGTGATGATAGAGAAAAGAGAGAGAGGCTTGTGAGTGAAGGAGGCTCATTCGTGGCTCCTGATAGCTGTCTGTGTATGTGTGCATGAGCGTATGCATGCCACTATGCTTCTGTGTGGGTGTGTGAATGGATGTCTGTGAAAGACCACTTCAGACCCTCCATAGTCCCCCATTCTACCCCTTGGCATGTGTGTGCGTGTGCGTGTGTGTGTGTGTGTGTGTGTGTGTGTGTTTGTATGTGTGTGAGAGAGACACTGGCCCTTGAAGGCTCAGTGAATGACTGCCTTGTGCCCTCGGAGAGGAAGCTGCTCCTGGGTTACACACACACTGGTTTCTGACCTCCTGTGTGTTTTTGTTCATTCATTCTGCCATTATATTTATAAATGTTAGTGGGTCCCTCCAGCACTGTTGAATTGAGATATATTTATAATCTGAAATTCCTCCACAGTATGAATTTGTGTATGTGTGTGGGGGACCAAAGACAGTAACACCTGAAATCATGTACGTAAGGAAAACAGCTTGATAGTTTAGCCATCATTTACCTAGCTTTATGTCACTGCAAATCAGAATGACATTCTAACAGTGCATTGAATGGGGTCTGAAGCTTTCAGATTTCAAAAAGCACAACTGAGTACCATAAAAGTATCATAAAAATATTACTATCTCAGAATAAAAACTATAGAAGGCAATGGAAAGTCCCTACAGTGATAGAAGAACGTATGTGTGTGCCCGTCTGGCCGCTTAAATCACGACTTTAGCGTAATTGCATGGCTTGCGCTAAAGGGTGGAAATCAGCGTGTCTCACTCTACTGTGTGTTAAAGCTAAGATCACAGAGAGGATCTGTGAACCACAACAGCGCAGAAAAACCTCAGGCTTATTTAAATGACTTTATATTATATATCTGCTGTATTTCTTTAGTGCATCCTTTATACAAAGGGAGCTGTTGTTGTGATTCTGTCTCTTTCTTTGGATTTATATTGTTGTTTTTATACTGCTATTTTTTGCCCAATTTCCTAAACTGAGAATGGCTTTGGTGAAAGAGATTCACCGTGTTAATCTCATAAACAGGATACTGTGATCTGTCTCTTTCGCACTAATAAAGAGAAGACATTTATTAATATAGAAATAAGAGTCTTACAAAAAACAATTAACGTGCATCTGCTGATTATATGAATGGCATTTGATCTCAGCTCACACAAAGCAATATCTGCGATAAGCTACAGAAATATGCAGTAATATAAATTCAATGAAATTCCTCTCTCTCATTTATGCATTATACCAACATTTTGACTGTTTGCGTTGCTTAATCAGTGATGCAGAGGACGTCATACTACGATATTGTCAGTGAAATGTATGCAAAAAATTCTAAAAGGTCATTTGTTGCATGATGGTACAAAGTCATCTACCAGTCTAACATCTTTTATCTGTTCAGTCACTTCCCACATGTGAGGAAAAAACAGAAACCTGAATATCAAGGGTGGTCGGATGCTTTTCCTCGATCTATTCTAAAGTGAAGAAGATGAGTCAGATGCAAGACCATTCCTTAGAAGCATGTAGCGTGTCTAAACACTAAAGAAGAAGACTGGAGATGATATCTACAGGTTTGGCAGGTCCCACCCGTCCTAAAGGCTGTTTCTGCTTTGCTGTTTCATCTAGTACACTCTGAGCCTGAATGTTGAGGGTTTGGAGTAGGGGGAGGTGAGGAGCATCTGGAGGGGAGGAGTGGAAGAAAGGCAGCACATTCCTCCAGAATTTTCTCTCAGATATACTGGATGCTTCTGATGGAACCTGTCCACATAAAAAAAGAGAAATAGAGAAAAAGAAAGAGAAAGAAAGTAAGAAGAGAGGTTGCATAATCTTCAGAATGACTGGGCCAACGATAAAGATAGTAGTGATACAGCTCTAACTGTTACTCTCATCTTAACTCTCAACATCTGTGAGCTACAATTAAGATGACGGTACAGAATGAAGAAATTATGACACTCTCTGGGTGTGATTCAGTAATAGAGGCCACAGACGTTCAACTCTATGATCATGGAGTTTGATTCATCATAGCAGCCACATGATTGAACCCACATCTCTTAGACTGCTACCGAAATAAAGGTTAAAGCTTTTAATCAGCCAGTTTTTCCCAGTCTGTGTGAATGTATCCATCACCTGATCTAAATTCAACCACTCTGTAATTCTCACGCTTAGTTTTCAATCACATCCCTTATCTGTTCTGCACAGGACAATGTATGACGGTCAATTTTGTCATTACGCAGGATTGTATTCCTCAGTAAAGGTTAAGTATGGCTGCTGTTGTCAAACCTTTGGCTTGGGTTTTAAATCTGCTCACATGATGGACATAAATAGAGAGAATAGAGAGCTCATTGAGGTATGTTCTTATGTGAGCACACATTCACAAACGCACAAAATAACTAAATCAGCAGTTAGTGTGTAGAGGCTTGAGGGTGTGTTAGCTTTGGTCCTGTCAGACCAGATCCTTTCATATTTTTTTTTCAAATTGCTAGATGCTTTGAATAGCTTTGAAACATTTGTAAAATACCTTATAGACAAGCAATTGTTCATTGATAATAGTGGGCGCTGACTGTTTTCACCCCGGCGCCTACTCTGTTATTGTGAAAGACATCTAAATATATTTCATGTATTTATTTAATTTAAATATAAACAAATAAAACAAACCCTAATTAGTATCTCAGTCTCCACTTTGATCTCTTGTGAGAAAATTAATTATGCAGTATTAAGTTCAAAGTTCAAAGCTAATAAGGTAAAGTTTCTCATAAATATTT